TCGCTGGAAGTTGTTCCCTGGCAACCCTTCATTACAAACGACTAGACACGTTGGTTTTCGTGTTCTGCGCTCGTAAATTTCGAACGGTCTCGTTGTTACTCTTCATCCGTTCCAAACTCACGGAACACGAAAAGATTGGTGAGAAATTAAAGTATAAAAATATCAATAAATCGGTGAGAAATAAAGTAGAGAAATATCAATAAATTAGTTAAGAAATGATTGTCAAGGATATGAAGCTAATAATTTTAATGGCGACCTTGTAACACGGACGATTTAAAGAAACTTGTTTAGACCGTAATCGCGTCCTCAATGATAAGAGACAGTGAGTAATCTAAGCGCCATTTGAGCTCGTCAGAGCGGCATTCCTCTTTCTTGAATCTGGTTGCATTCCTTGCTAATTAAAACTATCCCTCGCATTAACGAAGCTTTCGTGTCGCGAAGCACTTAGTCTAAGATCAAGAAACCAAGAACGCGCGAAAATCTTCCCGTATAACTAGTTCGAGATAATTAATTTCGTGCTGCTGATAGACGATCGAATCTGAGATAAGAGATGAATGTTAGCAAAATAAAAAATCTTATATCTTTAATCCTTGCTATTTTTTGATTCTTATATCATAATTTTCATTTTTTCCTTAAACTTGAAAATTTAATCGAAGAACGAAAATAAACCAGTTGAAAATTTAATCAAAGAAGGAAAATACGCGTAAGATTTTGAAATATCATCCTGAACGAGATATAAAAAAGATGAAATGATCTTTATATGTTGGAAACTATGAGCTCTTTGTTTCCAAGTCAATGTTAAAATCGAGATCGTTTCTAGATCGAATCAGTGACACTCTGATGAACACAGAGTTTCATCTTTCCGAGATTCAGTCTCTCGTGAAATATCGACGAACAGTTATTCCATGGATGAACCGTTTCTCGACACAAACAATTTCCAGGTCCCAGTACACAAGAAGGATCTTGGGAACCAAGACCGACACCTTTGTGAAAGCTTGTATTCGGGACGTCGAGCTCGTTCGTCCATCCAAAGGAGTCGTGAGCACGAATCAACGACCACGAAAGATGAGAAAGCTTAAAAATCTCGCGTATAAACTCACCGAGCACGGAGAGGCTGAGCCCGGAGCCTGGCCTCGGTGATCTGTGCCTGTCTGGGGGCGCCATGGCGTTGCTTCAAACGGGTGTACAAGGCGCCTTAATCCACTGGTAGACTCGTTTCTCTCATCGTACAGTCACAAACACATTCACAATCGAATTCGTTCCTGAACACTGGAACGTGAATCCTTTTTCGATAATTTCTTCAGGGATTCCTTTGAGGCTCGCGTTCGATCGCAAGAAACGCACGAGGATGTTCCTTCTTCCACCACTGATTTGTCATTTTATCTTTTAATCGATTAAAATAGCAGGATAACAGTTCCCGCGCGCGCGAGCGCGACCACGCCAAACAACGGGAACGAACTGTTGTATATGCGTAAAAATGAGCGTCATACATACAACAGTATGCACTCGACGAACGTTGGCCGAACACTGACTGGCAGACACGAGCACTCCACCTCGAGCACCGGTCGACTCGCGTGACGCCTGATTGGCTGATTGGTCGACCGGTCGACTGGCTTG